GGGCACAAGTACTCACTGAAGAGAGACAGCTGACAGAGGGAAAATGAGAAATCATCCTTGGGGAGGGGGCGGTGGAGTAGATGGCCATGCCGCAATGCCTTCTCCTCCATTCTCCTCTTGGGATTTTCGGCATGTGAGCCCACGTGCTCTGCATGACTTTTTTCTTTCTTTCTTTTTTGAGAAGTTTTTGCTATAGGGTGTCTGTGCTTGCCAGAAAGACAGAGAGAGACAGAGAGACAGAAAGTGAGAAATCACCCCCTCCAGGGGGGATGGCCATGCCAACAATCCCTTCTCCTCCATTCTCTTCTCGGGATCCGGGGCATGTATTCCCATGTGCCTGACTTGAGTTTAAGCCACCGAGTCTGGGACTCAAACTGCAGTTGACCACGTGAGAGTCCAACGACATAGCCATTATGCCAATTGCTGGTCTCTGATTGGGTCTGGAACTCAAACCGCAGGAGTCCAGTACTTCACCACCATACCATCTGTTGCTCCCACTCAATGGTAGCTTTTAATTCTACATTTTATTTTTACGTTTATTTCTTTGTTCCGCTGATTATGAACTTCCCTTTAAACACTAATGACTAGGTTTTTTATCTCACACAGACTCCTGAACTTCACATTTGTTAACTTTAGAGCTTCGTTATGAACTTGAATGCCCCTAACTAGGTAGATTCTGAAAGGGAAAGCAGTTACCTGCTCTCCTTTTTCTTTACCAATGACTTCATCATATATATATATTTTTTCCAATGATCCCTCCTAGTACCAATAGTAATGGAGCGAAATCATAAGTATCTTGTCACTTGCGGTCTGGTCCCATAATGTAGTGGTTAAGGAAGCCAGATTCCACATGGCCCACCATGGTTAGAATCCTAGCCAAGTGGCTTGAAAAACACCCCAGGAATGCATGCATGAGTGCCCAAAATCTTGATGGGAAGGAGGAATAAAAAAATCTATATTGCAGTATGGCCACACCCCATTGGAGAGTTGGCAATAAAATAAAAAATAAAATAAATCAAGTCATTTGACAAATAGTTACTTAGGACTCATATCTCAAGCATCTTGCCAGACACAGAATACAGTATTGACTAGGGCATAGGAGGGTGCTTCAAAAAGTTAATGGAATGAGGAAATTAAAGTACAAGTTAATTCTGGTGCCCCACTTTGTAAATCCATGCATAGTTTTCTCATAATCTGCATTTTTATGCACATTAGAAGATTCCTTGTATGTAGTCTTTTCTCTGCTATATAATAATAGCTTCTACAAACCAAGGGTCTATCCTTGTCAGGCGTTGTGCTTTTCATGTATTATCACATTCAAATCTCATGGAGGTAGCCATTGTTATGATCCCTTCTTTATAGATGAGAAAACTGATGATTCCTCAAAGTCACACAATCAGGCATGAGCAGAATTGGGACAATGTAGGTCCATCAGATGCCAACACTTAACCACATATGTATCTTCTTTCTCTCTCATAACTTCTAATGAACTAGAACCACAGGGCCTGATGTTCTTGTAGCTGGAAGACAGTAGCTCTTCTACAACTTTGCTTTAGTTTCTCGTGAATACTTTGGTTTGCAAAGATAAAGAATTCTCTGAAGCACAACCTTAAACAAATTGTGGTAGACAGCTGGCAGATGACAGCTGCAGACAGAAAAATGTGGCCGGATGCTCTGGGACTGGCAGAATTAATGGGTCCCCATTCAGATGGCTCCAAGGAGGAAGCAGTGACAGGCTGAGGTAAGAAGAGCTGATAGATTCAACCATTTAGACCCCAAACCACAGTGGAAGGAGGTGCCTTAAATATTGTAGGATTCATTTTTATCAGGTTATGCAAATGCAGTTGGAGTGCAGTTGGAGTGTAGTTTTGTTTTCCTTCGCCTGTATCGTTTGAGTGATTATTCAAATAAAGTTAAAAATCATTTCTTCCTGAAGTATGTCTCATATAAGGAGTTGGAAATATTGGGTCAGGGTAATCTATTCTTCCTATATGGACAACAGTCATAGTGGATTAGGGTCCACTTCCATTATTCATTTTATATTAAGTATCTTTTTTTAAAAGAGATTTTTGCTATAGGGCACTTACACTCACTGGAGAGACAGACAGAGAGACTGAAAGTGAGAAACCACTCCCCAGGAGGGATGGCCATGCCACAATCCCTTCTCCACTCTCCTCTCAGGACCTTGGGCATGTACACACAGATGCCCAGAGTGAGTTTTAAGTAGCCAGATCTGGGACTCAAACTACTGTCGACTATGTGAGAGTCCAGCAACATAATCATTGCACCATCTGCTGATCCCAAGTATCTCTTTAAAGGCCTTATCTCCAACTACTATCACATTCTGAAGTACTGGAGATTAGGACTTCAGTGTAGGAATTGGAGGATGACGCAATGTAGCCCTTTGCAAGCACCATCTCTAGTCAGTATGTGCCATCCAAGGATGATCAGCTTAATGAACTTGTGATCAGAGGCAATGACCATGGAATGACCATCAGGTTACATGAGGATTTCCTACTTAAGGGAATGAGAGCAAGCACACACATCTTGGACAGTTATGAATGAGTTTAGGTAAATGATGCTGCTTGAGGGGATGTGCTGACTTCTGACTTTTCCTACAAAACCAGAGATGATACAATCTCCTCTTCAGCACCAGGAATTCCTTGTTACTTGAACTGTGATACAAGCGTAGTTGACTGTCCTTGAGACAGTGCAATAAATCCTAGTAGGTAAGTCTGACATCAGGCACAGAGTTCACAAATTATTCAGGAGATAAAGGAAACACATGGAACAAGTGTTACATAAGGTCTGCACCAAGGAACACAGGGCAAAGTGTAAGCAGGCTGTGAGCAGAAAGCTTAAATCAGCAAAGATCTGTGACTTTTGGAGAGGGAACCCTTAAAGTTGGAAATTGATAAAAGGGTGCTTTTGAGGGGGATGCTGAAAGGCTGGAGCCAAAAGCAGGAAAATGCAAGACATGAAAAGATCCTGTAAAAAGCTGGATGGAAGGAATTGTGGAGAAATTGTGACCAAGAAGACTGGTTTAAAGTGGTGATGGAAAGATACACGTCTGGATCTATGCATGAAGTGATGTGGAGCTAGATTACTGACAGAGGGGAGGGCAGGTTGTGAAAAAATTGCTAAAAGCTGGCGATTGATACAATGATGAAATTAAGGATATCCAGAGTTAAACACATATGTAAATACACACACGTGCACACACACACACACACACATAACCAGCACTACCACCACCACAAACAACAACAAAAGTCACCACAATGATGCAGTCCTGTGAACTCCCAAGAGGTTACTGGTTCCAGTGTTGGGACCTCTGAGAAGCAGTACCTGAGTTTATGGAAGAGAAGATGAGAACAGTCTCTTAATATGTCTCTCTCTCTCTTTTGTTTCCATCCTAACTTTGAAGTTCTCTAGGCAGCTCAATCATTATCAACAAGAAATTACACTGGTTATAGCAACATTCTGGCAAGGCTTAGGGGATAGACACATTAAACTGTGAAAAAGACTCAGCGTAAGTACCACAGACTTAGTTAAATGGCTGCGATGCATTCTACGTATTTATCCTGAGGAACATAAAGTGTGGAAGAGCAAACAAACGGCTTTGATGAGAATTTTCTCGGCTTTATTGCTGGGGATGGCAGGTCACGTGGTGGTTAAAGGTGCTAGACTCCCACATGAAAAATCGTGGTTCAAGTCCCAGACCTGGTGGCTTCCTTACTCTCTCTTGCTCTCTCTCTCTCTGGCCAAATAGGAAAACAATAATAATGATAAATAAAGTTAAAATAATTCTTAAATAATGTTGACTGGGTGGTAAAGTGTTTTGAAAGCAAGAGGACAATTTCATTCCCAGTGTCTTTTCCCAATAGTTTTCTAGACTTATTATAAATATACTCTGCAAGTAATACTAGATTGTGTATATATATATATGTGTGTGTGTACACATATACATAGAGCTTTACATATACATATATAAAATCTAGGCTTATATATACAGTCATGCACCACATAATGATGGTTCCGTGAATGTTGAACAATATTTACGTCAATCCCAGACAGCATACATTATGGTGGTCCCATAGGTGCAACAGGCACCTTGGTTTATAATTATCTATACCATGTAGGTTTCTGTAAGCACACACTATGATGTTCACAACAGGAAGTCACCTAACCACGCATTTCTCAGAACATATTCCCTTCTTCGAACCGTACATGACTGTATTTGTAAAACTATTGGGCCTTGCACAGAACTTTCAACTTTTTAATTGTTTTCAGGGGATAACAGATCCTAAATAGGTTGCTTTGGGCTTTCATCTTTTTTCTTAGCACCTTACTTGCAAAATCAGGGATTCGTCCTGTTCAGACTCTGCCTACACTAACTTCAGCTACTGCTCAGAAGGGAATCGTTCTCCAGTACAGACTTTAATAGTGAGGCCCAGGCCCCACAAATCCCCAAGCCATGTTGGTGCTCCGAAAATTCTCTGACAAGGTGTAGCAACCTGGGCTCTCCACTTGAGGGGTGGAGAGAGAGAAAGGAGGCAGTGGAGGTTCAGGTCATGGGGAACATAATCATCTGGAAGAGTCAGAATACAGGTCTTTGTAGCACAAAAGTTTGGTAAGGAGTAGCAAGTAGCTGAGACGAATTGTACTTCTCTCTTCCCAGGCTCGGGATATTCACACCTCGTGGACTGACCCTTCTGAAGGTGGGAAGGGGTGCACCCAGCTAGAGGTGCAGCCCTGCGTGCCTCGCACTCTCAGCAGCGGCGCCTCTCCCTCCTTCGACTTAACTATTCTAGCGCCCCACCTGCCAGCACGGCGCAACCACCGCCCGCCGGCCACACCCTCTCATCCCTGGGCCCCGCCCCACACACGAGCCTCCGGCCAGCGCCCCGCCCCGCCCATCACGTGACAGCCCCACCCTCCACGCGCTCACTGATTGGTCCCTCCGACGGAGGGGGTGGGAACTAGCGAACAGCCTTGCTCCCAGACGCTGCTGCAGTTTTCAAACCTCAACTGTAAGCCTTGGTCACCGTCTCTGCTGCCGTCGCCTGGAGTCACCTCACAGGGGGACAGGTCACAACTATCGGCTCTTGTCCGGAAAAGTAAAAGTGGGTCCTTCTACTTTCGGAGCTACCCAGCGCTGCAGCCGGCCTGTCGCGGACACCGGCGTGGGGCAGGACAGGAGCCCCCTCGAAGGGGGCACCGCGGAGAGAACCTGCGGCAGCTGGAGCGGTCAGTGTCTCCCGCCTCGCGTGTCCGCGGTCCTGTCAGAGTAGGCTCAGGGCTGCGACTCCGAACCCCTGGACTAGTCTCCTTCCCCTCAGTGTAGAGAGTCGATGGTGGGGAGGCCTCCAGGGAGAGTCCGGGTGGTGCGGCTAGATCCGGGGTCCCCTCGAGCCCCCTGGCCTGGCGGACATTGGCCTGGACTCTGCGGCTCCTCTGGTGGCCCGACTTGGTCCTACTCGTGCGCGTTGTCGGCCTGGCGGGCCCGGCGAGCTCCGGGTCGCGCCGCGCGGCGCCCCGGCCCCCCTAGCCGCCGGCTGTCCCGGGCCCCTTCCACGCCGCGCCGACGTGGTCCTGTGCCCTTCCCAGGCCCCAGATGCGTTCACATCTGGACTGCCTTTCGTCCAGAGAAAGTTTGTGCTCATCTTGTGGAGCATTTTCAGTTCCTACTTGTGAATGGTTATTAAAAAAAAGGGGGTGGGGGGAGAAAAGAGTGCATAGAGAACAAGGAGGACTGCAGCTGTTCCAGTGATTTTCAGTGGTTAGATTTTATTTTGATGCTGTGTAAACCACTTAGTGCACGCGACCCGTCCTCGGAGTATACGACTACAGGAAGGCTGCGATTTGACATTTATCCAGGTTTTGTTTTACTGTAAGGGAAAGCACTTCATTTGAATTCCCTCAGAAGGATAAATAGAGACAAAGTTGAAAGATTTTATGGGAGCTGGGAGCTGGTATTAGTCTGTGGTAGGACTGGAGTCACTCTGAAGTCAGTTTGCAAACTGAAATAAGGAAAAAAGAGAAAAAGAAAGAAAACACTCATAGAATCCAACCATAATAGTGATCAGATTTCAATAATATTTAAACACATTAGTTCTGTGTATCACATTCACCGGTTGTTTCCACGACGTCATGTTTACATATGTAGTAGAAAGGCATGCTGAACCTTGCAGGGGTGTCTGGGATGGTGTGGCCCCTGTAAGTTTTCAAGTCCATGAGACTGTGTGCACTGAGGCAGTAGGGACTGTGGAAGAAATGGGCAAGGGGCAGGATATGTAACCTGGGGCATTTTGAACCCAGGAGCACAATTTTATTAAAGTATAAGATAACCAGACTTCCTCACTGGACACACAAATCTAAGTTTATTGGTAAATAATTAAAAAGTAGTCTTCAACAACTTCTAAAATATTTAATAGCTGTCAAACCAAATACTCATAAAATTGTGTACATTAAAAAAAATCTAGTGGGGCCCACCGTTTTTGAACGCTTTTTCCTCGCAGTCCTCTTCTGAGTAGATGCTCAGTTTTTACTAATTTCTCTCATATTTTAACAATGTTGGAGAATAATGGCATTGTTATTAAAAACTGCTTTACTTTTGAGAGAACATTATACATCTTAGATAATTTTTCTGAATACAGATCTAAAATTGAAGTAAAATATTTATATTCATGGCAGGATATTTAAGTTTTAAAAGTAAAATTTCTGTAATAATTTGAAGACCTTTCTTTTTTGTGCTGGATAGAGCATTTGCAGTTTCTCATTGGGCAAGTAGTGAATTACAATTTAGTTAAGATAGGATCAACTTTTAAGAAAGTGGAGACTTGACTAATTGCTTACAGTATCATAAACATATGAATAACAAATTTGAAGAAGACCGTCATTTTATGGCAGATGTTTCTAGCCAATTTTATTTTTAGGCTTGTTTTACTAGTGTTAATTGGATGTTTAAACATATTTCAGAAACTTTATTTTGAAGCTATTTTATAATTATAAGAGAAGACTTATCAAAATGTCCCTGCTTAAATCATAGGCTCAATTTAAAACCCAGAAATCAAGGAAATCAATAACTAACACTTTCACTTAATCCTTAAATTGTCTTAAAATTGCATGTATAGTGTATTGTAGTGCATTTTTCTTGTATATAAAATTGGCAGCTAAAAAGAATTGTTCCTAAACTTACTACTTTATTGAGGATTTCTATTGATCCTTGTTTTTTATTTTAAGTTGTTTTGGATTCATGTATACCTGTTGTGTCAGAAACGTTAATAGTCATTTATATACTAATTTATATATATTAACTTTCCACTTAAAAAAACTTAAAATATATTCAGTTGCTTTCGTTTTCCATAATATTGATGAGTAAATATGATGGCTTAATTATTTTATTTTTAAGGAGCTTATTATAGTCTATGATATCTATTATCAAAGAATATTTATTTAAATATGTTAGTGAAGTGTTCCTATAAACTGTTACAGCATTTTTTTTTCTTTCTCTCTCTCTTTTTTTTTTTGGAGAGATTTTTGCCATAGGGTGCCTGTACTCGCCAGAAAGACAGAGAGACAGAAAGCAAGAAATAACCACTACCACCCCGAGGGGTGATGGTCACGCTGCAATCCCTTCTCCTCCATTCTCCTCTCAGGATCCTGCGCACACACGCACACATACATGCCCGGTGTGAGTTTAAGCCACTGGGTCCAGGACTCAAACTGCGACCCAGTGGCTACATGGTCCAGGACTCAAACTGCGGTCGGCTACATGGGAGTCCAGCGACATAGCCATTACGCTAACTGCTGGTCCCTTTTTCTCTTTTTTAAGGTTTTTGCCATAATACACATGTGCTTGCTTGAGAGAGACAGAGAGGGGAAGTAAGAAGTCATCCCTTAAGAGGATAGTCACACTCATTCGCTTCTCCTCCATTCTTCTCTCAGGATTTATGGCATTCACACACACCTACCTGGTGTGATTTTTTTTTAAGCTGCTGGGTTTGGGACTCAAACCACAGTCTACCATGTGGGAATTCAGTGCCTTAACCACCACACCACCTGCTGGTCTCACAGTTGGTGTCTTTTAATAGTGACATGTAATTATTTATTCGGATTCATCCCTGACCATTTGCAACTATTTCAAAAGAGGGTATAGTTATATTTTAAGCATTGAAAAATTTTAATGTTTAGATGGTGGTTCTTCTTTAATCCTTACAGGATCAGATTCCATTTTTCATCATAATAATTAGTGAATAAACAGTACTTTAGCAGTGCTATTAAGTAAACAGTAATTTATTTTAGAACAGAAACCTAATTTTCTATCTTGATGAATGACAGGTTTGTTGGCCTACTATATATTTACATTTTTCAATGTCCTATAATGGTTCACAATTAAAGGGTTTCTTTTTCAGAAGGTGAGGAAAGACAGCACTGAACCTATCTCCCTTGGCACAGAATCGGGCCTAAGTTCGTTTCCTATGTCTTCAGCCCGTGGATAGTATAGTTGGTTTAGCTGGCTTCCTGTTTCAGAGGATTAAATTCCTAAATCATATTTTTCAATATTGTTTAAAAAACAAACAAAACTCAAACCTTGTTCATAGAATACATGTAAGGAATATAGTCTCTTCCTTGAAATTGGAATCATCATCATCCCCATCCCTACACCAATACCCTTATTTCTAATCAATAACTAATTAAAAATGGATCTTTCTAACACAACAGTAGAAAATTTTTCCTTTACTTTTGCTGGATCCTAGATAGATAAATCTCCAGTTCTTCTGTTTCCTAAGGAAAACCTGTAGCAATATATTATGATGTAGAAAGGGGATACTTCCCTATGATTTTGTGGCTTATTTTGCTTTCCGTTGCATTTCAAATTTACTTCATGAAGATCTAGATTTATTGTCCTTGATAGGACAAAGTATTTGAATTTCCTGATTGATGTAGCACTTAAAGAATGGATGTTCTTAGCTGAAATATATATTTACATTAAAAACAGGTGGCCATCTAGTCTGGAAAGACTGTTAAATATAAAAATAAATGACCCATTGACATTATATTTCAATATATGATATTATAATTTTTGAGAGGTTTTTGTTATAGGGCAAGTGTGCTCACCAGAGAGACAGACAAAGACAGGGAGACAGGAAGTGAGAAATCACCGCCAAGGGGGTTGGATACATCTCAATCTCTTGTCCATTCTTCTCTCAGGATTTTGGGCATGCATGAAATGTACACGTTTCAAGCTGCTGGGTCTAGGACTTAAACCACAGTCAGCCACATGGGAGTCCAGCACCTTAACCACTACGCCCCCTGTTGGCCCCGATAAAATAAGATTTATCCATGTTTCCAGAGTTTGAGACTGCCCTTTTAGAACTGAAGTTCTCTAACAGCAATTAAAATGTTTCTTACTTTATTTAGCCAAACACTGAACTAAGTAGAGACAAGGTGCATTTAAAGCTCCAGTTTTATCATTTCAAGATGGGTCTCAAGTTCTGCTAACACACTGAGAACATGATCTGTGTCTGGAAATTCTTTTTGGCTGTTTCATAATTCTTATAATTTAGTTCAGCACAATTTTTTTGAATTCCTATCAAGTGCCAAACCCCATGCCAGACATAATTGTACACCAAACATAATTGCAATCTATAACATGTTACATTCAGAGGTAAAGAAGTATGCAGAAGGTCTTCTTAATTGGAACGTAAAAGAGAAGACTTAAATCAACCTTGGATGTTAGGTAAAACTTCTAGAGGAGATGCTATGTCTATGTCGAGATATGAAGGATGCATTAGAAGAGGTAGTCATTTAAAGTAAGGTAGAGAGGATGTTTTAGACAAAGACATAAAACAAAGATGGAGGCAAAATTAGAACTCTAGTGTAGCAGGAAATGAAGTGGGTGTATACTTAGGCTAAGAGGACATTGTGTGTCATGCTGTTATATGAAGACTTTATAGGTACTGGGAAACCAATGAAAGAATCACAGCAATTTAATTCTCTGAATGTTTTATAATTGTAAATTCTATTTTAAAAACTTTTTATTTGATAACTTTGAAATTAATATCATGATGAATATTTTTAAAATAAAATAATTTAGAGAGTTATAGAGGACCATCTGTCTTGCTTTTGATTGCATTGTGTTTGCTTTCTCCAGTTAAGGCAAGGTCCAGATCAAGCCCAACATTTCCTTCTGTTCCTTCCTTGACATCTGAATTCTAATTATAATTGCTGTAATGGGTATTAATTGGAAAATCAAATCTTTGAAAGAGAATACTATGGAAAGCTCGATTATATCTTACTTTCTGCTAACCTTTTATTGCTTCTATCACCTAACTGTATGCATAATTGTGTATATATACCACACATACATACAAATATTTACCTACTAGGTCTTCAAAGATTTTATTTTTTATTGGTATGGCTTGGTAGAATGTTATGCAATGAATTTCAAAGGGACTGAAATATACTGGTAACTTAAAATTATAACTGAATTGTAGAAGACAAGAAAAGGTCTGGGGATTGTTGGAGTTGAAGAAGATTTAGTGGGGAGTTTAGGAAGATGCAAGGAAGACTGAGCTGACTGATATCCCTCATGAAGACCAGCCACATGTTTGTGGAGGGCTGGTTGGACAAAGGTGACATTCATGCTCAGCTAAATGTAAAACTTGCAAAAGGAGAGGAAATGGGAACACACGTAGGCTGTTGATGGTTGGATCAAGTGCAGTAAATAGAAAATGAACTTAAGAAATGCTATATGGTTGCTTATAGGAGTTGGTGACGTAGGTTTATTAGCAATAAGTAGATAATATAAGGGTTCAGTTTGTAGAAATGTGTGCTTTCTTTTTCTGAGACATAGCTTGTGTTCTAGCATATTCAGAACTAGAGTGAAGCAGATCACAATTCTGAAAGTAATTGTGTTAAGAGGTATTTTAAAAACTGCTGATTGCTCAATAGTGTTGTATCTATAGTCATACAAATACCTATGGAATATTTACCCGTTATAATGACCAATAATATGTGAGCATATTATAGAATTTATTAGAGTAAAAAAGTTAAACACAAGCCAATCTCTAATATTAATGTCTCCTATATGTTAACTAGATTAATAAGACTCTGTTTAAGTTATTGTTATCCATTTATTCTTTAAAAAAACTAAGCTCTTTAATTTAAACATAGGAAATTATAATACTGCCCATAATTTTACCACTCAAAAGATAACCACTTTTAATATTTGGAAAGTTTTCCAGTTTTCTCTTTTCTTTTGTGTTTTACCAACAGAATTATAATATTGTATATAAAGTTTTATCTTATTTTCACTTAATATTATGAGTTTAAAATATTCTTTGAAAGTACAATTTTTAGTCATCATATAGTATCTTATTATTTAAGTGTATTTAACTGTTTATTTCTGGACTTAGGAATTTGGTCATTCAACAAGTTTTTGATGTATTGTTTCACTATTATAAATTATGCTATCCTGAACATAAAACTTTGATTATATCCAAGACAGTGTTTGCCAGAGAGCATGTGTACTCCCTAGAGAAACAGAGGGATGAAGAGGGAGAAAATACCCTCCAGTGGGATGTGGTTTTGTCACTATCCCTGTTGGGATTTGTAGCACACATGCATACATACCTGGTGCGTGTGTGTGTGTGTGTGTATCTGTCTTTTATCTTTTAGTTTTTCATGGGATACATGCACTTACCAGAGAGAGAGAGAGAGAAAGTGAGAAATTACCCACTGGGTGAATGGCCATGCCACAATCCCTTCTCTATCCATCTCTTTGGGATTTTGGGCAGACATACACAAGTGCCCACCATGTTTTCTAAGCCACTAAGACCTAGTGGAACTCAAACTGCAGAGAGAGTCAGCCATGTGAGATCTAGCCACCTTAATCCCCATATCACCTTGGGCCCCCAGTATGTTTTTCAAGTCATCCGGATTAGGATTCAAGCTACACAATTGGCTACGTGGGATCTGGCTTCCTTAACTACTAGACCATGTAGGCTGCCCCCAAGACCTATACTGACTATTGAAAACTGAAAGCAAAAAATGCTTATTCATAAATTACATCTGCGTTCTACTAGAGTTTTTATGAATGGACCACTTCAAAGATATGTTACAGCACAAGACAAACATCTTAGAATCTAGAATCTAGATGAGACAAACATCTAGAATCAAGAGTCTATACTCTTTCTCTGTAATTGTGATTGACATATTCTTGTTTGTATATTTCCCAAGGCCTGACTGGTAAACATTATTGGCAGTACAGCCCGTTGTATTCATGATTCAGGTATATCCCTCCTTTCTGTAAATATATGTACAATATAAATGCAATCATAGTGTGCATATTCCTAAACCTCTTGATTTTTTTGTATAAAATTCTAAAAGACCAAAAATGATCTGGATAAAAAGAGCTTGAACACAGAAATTGACACCCACATTGATATTGACTTGGGAATTTGGTCATGCACCAAGTTTCTCATGTATTTCAGAGACTAACATGTGACCAGTGAAACTGAGTGCTATCAGAAGTAAGACGATAACACAAATTGTTAACAAAACAGAAACTACAAAGTTTAAGAGTTGAGTTTAGTCTAACCTGGAGTGAGAGTTTTATATATGGAAATGCTACAGTTACTCAAAAATGGCAGGGAACTGCACAGGAAGTATTTTAGGTTAGAATACTACTTTTCTTTCTTTTTCTGTTTTTTTCCCTTTTCTTCTTTTTTTCTTTTTTTGTAACTTTGCAGAGGGTGCTTGTGCTCACTGTAGAGAAACAGAGAAAGGGAAAGTAAGGACGTACTCCCCATGGGGGATGGTCACACCACAGTCCCTTTGCTTCCAGCTTTTCCTCTTTAGGGATTTTGACCACACACATCCACTCACACAGCATGATTTTCAAGCCACTAGGTCACACTTGGCCATGTGGCATCCAGCTGCATTAACCACCATGCTGCTGGCTGGCCCTAATTTTCTTGTTATAGATTAATCGTGATTCTCCCTCATAACTAGCACTATATCAGTATCATTCTACATGAGTTTATCATATTTTAATTTTTAATTCTTTGAACTTTGCATGATTAGCTCTGTTATCATCCATATATTAGAAAGAGCAGAATTGAAGCTTTCTCATCAGAAATCAGAGAAATGTAAAATAAATCACAATAAAATTTTATTGACCTTCATCATATTAGAGTAGCTAAATGTAAAAGTCTGAATGGGGCCATGTTATCAAGGTAGTGATCAGTCCTACCCAGTGTTAGGGGATTGAAATAAGGAACCATGTCTCTGATATCTTATTTTTAATTTAAACAAATTATAGTCAAATAATAAGATTTGAAAGAGTGAGTAAGTATTATGGCATTTGTATCCCATTCTATGCATTTGGAAATATTCACTTAAAAAAAATGCTGTGTTGTCATTGACTGTGTGACTTAGCAGAAATTTATTTTCTCACAATTCTGGAGGCTAAAAGTCTAAGATTAAGATGTTTGAAAGATTGTTTTTCTCTGTGAACTTTCTCCTTGACTTGTAGGTGACTGTCTTCTTGTGTCTTCACATTTGTTCGTCCGGGTCTTAATATCTTCTTATGAAGACACCAGTTGAGCCAGCTCCATGACATAATTAAGGCACCTGGATCCCACACGGCCAACCCAGTGGTTAAGAGTCTTGGACTCTTGGACTCAGAGGCTTGAGAAACAGTGCAGGTGCACGTGCAAGCTTGCTGAAAATCTGAAAGGGGGAGAGATGGAGGAGAAAGGATTGTGGTATGACTTTCCATAGGGGATGATTTCTCCTCTCCCTCCATCTGTCTGTCTCTTCTTAAGTGGGGCACATGTGCCCTCTAGCAAAAAAAAAAAAAAAAAAAAAAAAAAAGACACTAGTCATAATTGGCTTAGGGCCCACCTTAATGACCTAATTTAACTTAATCACCTCTGTAAAGGCCCTATCTCCCCCAAACAGTCACATTCTGAGGTACTGGAGGTTAGGATTTCAACATATCAACTTCATAGACAACATAATTAAGTAATTTAATTAAGGTCTCATAGCTGATACAGATGGATAAATGGAGTTTAGACGGAGGTGTATTTCAGTCCAAATCTTATTTGCAGAATGCTACACTGGTATTCTTAGACTCCCCAAAACTAGTTAGAGCTTTCTTTCCCCCACAGACCAATGAAGTAGAGAAAACAATTTTACTGACTTGAGAATAAAACCAAAAAGAGAAAATATGGAAACTGAAAACACCGAACTCTAGCCACACTGCTTATTTGCTAAGTAGAATGTAGCCAGTATTTGAATTTAGATAAAGAGTAGTGTCGATAGATATCAGGTAGGAAAAAAAAGGCAGGAGTGGTAGAAATGTAACAACAGCTTAGGAGGTTATTACAAGAAGGTACTGGAAAAATAATACCTGGTCTTTTTTTTAGACAAGCATAAACAAAACAAAAAGTTAGAAGTATCTTGAAATATGCAGTCTGTTCTTATTATGTGAATTTGGTTAATATGAAATAGTGGTTTTTTAATTTTATTTATATATCATTTATTAGAGAGAGGGATAAGGACTCCCAGCAGGATCTTGTCATACCCTGACCCTCCTTATCTGCCACCCAAGATCACAGCACACCCACGGGCATGCCCAGAATACTCAGGTCAATCAGACATTGAAACCTGGGGCCTTCCTGTATGTCTAGAGTATCATGCAGCAGTAATCTACTGCCAATGTCACCATGACTGAGCCAAAATAATAGTTTTGACATTAAAACTGAATGCATGAGAATATCCAGATAAATAATGAGCTTCAGATATTGATTAGAACTCCAAAGTAAGGTTTTATAAAGTATGATTATTCATCCAACAAAATGATCAAGTTCTTTGTATGTAGCAGGCTGTAGTAGATTTTGCCAAGTGAGACTTTTAAGACATATAAGAATTTGTGAATTTAGTGTTATAATATAGCCAATGGATGAAACAAGTTCTATTTCTTGGAGTCATCACATATATAACTCAGAATAGTATAACTTGAATTGATCACTAAATTTCTTTGGACATGTGAATTAAATTTAAAATGAATAATTACTGGGAACCAGCAGTTAGCGTAATGGCTGTGTCGCTGGACTCCCTCGTAGTCAACCGCGATTCGCATCCCGGACCCGGTGGCTTAAAACTCACGCTGGGTGCGTGTGCGTGCGTGCCCAAGATCCCGAGAGGAGAATGGAGGAGAAGGGATTGCGGCGTGACCATCCCCCCTGGGGGGGGTGATTTCTCGCTTTCTGTCTGTATGTCTCTCTGTCTGTCTGGCGAGCGCATGCGCCCTTATAGTGAAAACCTCTATTAAAAAAAAAAAGAATAATTACTAATTTATTATTTTAAATGACCTAGTTATGAGAAAGCATAACTTTAAAGAATGAGAGCTTTTAAACGAAACTAAATGATTCCTTGCCTTATAATTTCATCATAATTTAATTAAAGAATTAGGGAAGATTTTTACAGTAGTTTTATTCTGAAATGAAATCAGTAACTTCATTCATGTACTAGTGTTTTTGTTTTTTCCTCCTTATGGGTAGAATGTGCTCTTTAAATCTTTTTTTTTTCAAGTTGTATGTTATAGTTAATATTGAAGCTGTATAATGTATGCACATCCTGCCTGAAATAACATCTTTTTAAAATTATATTTAAGTTATATTCTCTATCTTCTTTCTCTCTCTCTTTTTAAAATAGGCACAGATAAGTGACTAAAGAGGCATACTGGGGAGTCATCTAACATGTCGAGGAGAAGATTTGACTGCCGAAGTAGTTCGGGGTTGCTAACTACAGCTCCTCAAACACCAATGAAAACTGAAAATTTTCATAATTTCTATACGCTTACACCTAAAGAGCTAGGAAGGTAAGGAAACTTTGTGATGCCTATGCTATTTAAATTCTAATTTTGAATTCCTCTTTTAAAGCTCTATAAAACTGACTTTGGGTTATTATTTAAAATGATTAGGAAGAAATGTCACCATGTCTGTTGCTATATGTAGAATCTAGTCTTAACTGACTTGCAAATCCTATCTGTCAGAAGTTAAGGAACTTATATCATATATTGCACCTAGCTTCAGAATCCCTGAGGAGGTCTTAGTTCTTACTCAAAGCTGTCACAGGAAGAGAAGGACGACTGGGTCCAGATCCGGGCTGTAGCATTTATGAGCTGTGTGACCTCAGTTAAATAATCATACCTCTTGGTGCCCTAGTTTCCTCATCTAAAAAATGGAAATGAAGATAATTGTAGCCATTTTGTGTGGCTGTTGTGAGGCTTAAATTAGTTAATATTTATAGAGTACTGTCCTCTGTAAGTTGTAAAATTAATTTTTTAATTCCTAGACTATTGTGCTGGGCTAGGAAAAGAAAAAAGAAGTGGGGAGATTCACTACCTCTTTCCTAAATTAAACAAAAAAGAATGAACTAATATTTTAGTATAATTATATACCACAAACAATGATTGCTTTGTAAGTAAAAGCCTATATGTATTCTGTTTTGGTTTATCCAAGGTATACATTCCTGTAGGCCAAGGAGTGTCCTGATGTTATAAAACCATTTAGTACTACCATTTAGAAATATGTGAAAGTTACAAAAGATTTACAAGTTAGTTGTTTAAGTTAGTATTCAGCCTCTTTTGGGCTTTAAATGAAAGGTGCCTAAATGAAGGATTGGAAGATGGTGGTCTATTTATATCTTCAGTTTTATTTTATTTCTGGAGTAAATGCTTTGAATTACCAAGTCTGTGTTTGTATTGACAGATGCATAGTAAGATAATATGATTGGTTTTTATCTTTGTAAATATGTGAAAAGAAAATTTGAGCCTTGAAAAGTAACTCTGTTCTTGGTGGCCTTTTATCTTATGGATGGAGGTAATTCCTGGCCTGTTTGCTTTGCAATTACTGGATGCAGCCAATGATAAATAATCTCATTGACTAAAAATTAAATGTAACAACACATTTCATAATTCTTGGTACACTAATTTATTTCATTTTATGTGCAGAATACTTGGGTATTTTAATGGCATATGAAAAGATACAATTTTAAAAGCCTTTTAAAAGTATTTTAAAGAAGTTCTTAGTCTAAATTTAGAATTACTTTTCTTTGCATTTTAACTAGAAAAGAGTAAGGTTCTTTGTTTGATTGGTTGGTTGCCTGGATCTTACATTGAATAGTCAGAATCTTTGCACTTCTGTGGGTCAGTGGTCTTCTAAAACAGTTTTTTAATGCACTGTAAGAATCTGTTCTGTAATTTCCCCAAGAAGCTATTTTCCAGCTTCTGTTTGAGTGCTTCAGTGCTTGGAACTCTCTACCTCAGGTGTCTGTCCCATTTTGCGGGCACTTCTAAGTCATAGGAGGCTGTTTTCTACTCCGCTAACATCTATTCAATGGGCATGGTTCTCCCTTTATAGTAGAATATAATGTACATCCATGTGTAAAACATTCTTCAGATATTTTAATGTAGCTGAACATTGCCACTTTTACCTTACATGCTCATCATATGACCTGGTTTCTTGCCAGCCATCCTTGATGCTGTTATCCTCTTCTGAACCACTTTATTGTTTATATGGTCCCTATTACAATGGGGGATAAGGGATGCCTGTAATTGGACATAGTATTGTCAATAGTTACTATTTAGAATACAACAGAACTTCATTGAAATAGCCTAATATTGCATTAAGAGGTTGCTTTTCTTGCTTTCTCTGTCTGTCTTTCCTTCTTCCTCCCTTTCTTTCTTCTCTTTCCTTCCTTGCCCCCAACAGGCATGTCAAATCTGTGTCATATGACATCATGTAACATATTAGTAGAAACAGACTAAATTGGAAGTCAGTTGACCTGTCTTTGCTCTAGATCTGAAGTTGTGTGGTCTACTTATTTGTGTGATTTACATTTCATTAAGTGAAAAGATAAACTAGATGTCTCAAAGTTCCTTTGTATTGTGCAAATATTAAGAAATTGCTTAGAGCAAGTAGCTGAATATACAAAAAGAGTACACACAGTAAAATGTATTTTTTTATATTTTTCTAAGTTATTATTTTGATGTATCAGTTTACTTAAAATTACTAAATTACCTTTGCAAAATAAGGAATATTATGAAAGCTAGGAAGTTTATAAGATATTTTTCCTTTTAGAGTTTTGATTAATTTTAAACTTAGATAAGGACATAATAATAATAATAATAATACTGAGTTGTTTTATAAATGAAGTCTTATAAATAACCATAAATTTGAATCAGGTATACTTTTTAATATTTTAGATGAAAACTCATGAAAGAATCTGTTTACAAAAAATTCAGATCATTGATATTCTATGATTCAAGATCTGCATCAAGGAAAAATAAGTACATTTTTCTTTGAATTGATAGAGACTAATGAGTCACATGGTAAATATTGATCTATGCAGGGGACTTTAGAAAGTTTGTGGGAAAATGGAATTAAAGTACTAGATTTTTTGATGTAAACATTTTGAAAACTATGCATAGTTTTTTTATAATATGCAGTTTTCATGAACTTACTGAAGACCCCTCATATTTAATCAGTAGACTTTGAGAAATTAGGAATTATGACTTAACCTACCAAGTACTTATTTAAAGTTCTTTCAATATTCCTACCAATTTTAGTACCCAGTACTTTTGTGAAATGGAAATTAGGATCATAATCTTGTTTCTCCTCCAAAGTCTGTACATTTTGAAGTCCATAAACATAATTCTAATGTGTAGTGAACTACAAAGATATCTTTCTAAATTTTCTTTTTAAGATCTTAGTGTTTAATAATTTTTCTTTAGCAAATGAAAGGAAAACATGTAAAAGTTAACAGTTCATTTTTTACTATTCTCAAAAAACTTGCATTGTTCCTGTTTTTCAACATGTTGGGTAAGTTTTTTCTAACCCTCCCCCAACTAAGGCAAAGTTTCATAGGGCTTCTTGTGGTTAGCAGGGTGAGGCAGATTCAGAAATAAACGTCAGCTTCCTTTGTGGCTTACCCTCCCCTCTCCTTTCACATTTTATTGTGTATTCTAGAATGCAGAAGGGTAAAGACTAGACCTTTTCATTGCTGGGAAATCTAGTCAGCCTTGCCTTTTTAGGGTATGAATTAACTATTATTGTTGAGGGTTTAAGTTAGTTTCGTGAATGTTTCTTTCAAACTTGGTACAGGAACATTATATATTGAAGATTATTTTTGATATTTCTAAACTGCAACTGGCATTTTAGGATGGCAAACAAAATGCTTATCCAACCCCCTCCCTCGCCCCACCCCACCTCACCTCTGATAATTATGGCAAAAATATTTACCTTGTTTCATACCGTATAAGTTGAATCTCTAGCTTTATAAAATATAAACACTTGTAAGTGCAGGATTCAAAATAACACTACATGATAGTGTAGTTCGGTGTGGTTCTCTGGCTTTCATGCAACAGGTGTTTTCATTCTTATTTTGTGTTGCCTGCAACATGGAGTTACAAGTGTGTGCAGTGGTTAGGGCAGACATGGCCACTGCCCTCATGGAGCTTTTACATAGTAACAAACATGAAGGAAAAAAAGTTATTACCAATGTCATTTGGTCATCTTTGCCCTGGATTAATGAGCACCGTACTCATTTAAAAAAGCCTATGGAGATACCTGAAACAATTAGACAATGAAAGTGTCATATTTAATTTTGCTCTGTGCTTCTAAGAGAATTCTGGCTTTGAGATATAATCATGAAACTATAGCAGAATTAAGTGATCACAGTTGGTACTGTAAACTATTTTTTCAGATACACAGGTTTCTTGGCTAGCTAGTTTATGTTTCCAAAATTTTACAAGGTGAATTTCTTCATAAAACCCAAAGCTTCCTGTTTGTTTTAAAGGTTATGCTTCTAAATCTAAATAAGAATTGCCAAAAGTGAATGAGTTGCACTTCTTTAAAGAAAAGTGTTAAAGGGAGGAATTGTTTTGTAGTGATCAGAACAGAAAGTTAGGAATTCACATTCCACAGTTTAATTCTTGGCATTCCAATTCCATATATGACCTCTTGTGAGCTATTTAATCTTATCTTGACTCAGTTTATCAAATGTAAAAATTTATAAAATATCAGTAATTTGAATATAATAGGGCTGATTTACTTTTTCATGTGCTCATTGAAGTGTATCAGTTTGAATTCTTTTTGCATACAGCGAAAACATATATTGTAGTTCAGATTGAACATTCTTAAATCTTAAAACTACTTTCAAAGAATCAGATTTACATGGGCATGATGATGCCTGCCTATAGACTCAACTACTCAGGAGGCTGAGGCAGGAGAATTGCTCAGCTTTAATCCTGATGTCTAGAAAGTCCGATAGCATAGGGCTGGCATCTGGCTGGTCTCTGGTCCTGTGTTACAGCATGGCCAACAGAAGCAGGAAGGAAGATGGATGCGTACAGAGAGAGAGAAAGAGAGAGACCTGGGGACAACTCCTAACTTTTATAACTTGCTTTTGCAGTAAATAACCCCTTCTCATAAGAGTGAGAATTGACTCCCTCTCCTCAGGTAGCATTAATCCATTTATGAGGATGATGCTTCCATGATCCAAATACCTCTCACTAGACCTCACCTCTTAAAGATCTCACCATCTCCCAAGGCTAGTATACTGGGAACCAAGCTTCCAGAATAGAAACCTTTGGGGATGCACCATACTCAAACTGTAGCATACTAAAAATAACTTTACCCCTTTGTGAAATTAAATTGGGCAACTGCAAGCTTCTAATACACACGTAAGTAAGCAGAAAATATAATTTTGAGAGTCTTTTTTAATTTTAGCTGAGGTGCTAAGCACTGCCATTACAGGGAGCTAAAAACCATACTTATTCCTAAAATGATAGACATGACTTTAAAAGGCATGTTTAATTTTCTTAATCATGAAGTGTCATTGAGTATTCTCCATAGGGCACAAATACCTTAGGTATCTGTTTCAGGCTTCATAGACTACTGAGCATTACTAAGAGATATACTGGCAAAACAACTCACATACTGTAATAGAAAGTTTCAAAGTTGGTTAAAAGTTGTGTTGAAAGGCAGAATTGATACGCTAATAAAATTAAATAAGCCACATACCCATTTAGGCATCCATTCAAATTTTTTATATTTGAAAAAAAGTTATTTTCATTAAAGAGTTAATATGTTCTATGAAGTGTATAGTTTTTAGAAATAGATTAAATCTTTATCTTGACCAAGTTACATTTCTTCTCTGGGATCTGCAAAAGAGAATAGCATTTACCATACTGTTGTGATACTTAAACACAGTAATTTGTTAATATATCAAGACTGTGACATGGAGCTGGTATGCAAGTTAGATGATCTTTCAATACTAATGTTAGATTAATAGTGAAGAATAAATATAATTCTATCTTATCCTGTTATTATAGTTTATCATTTATATTTTTATATTAGTACTGTAAGTTTTACCAAAATACATATAATATTTGATGCACTTTGGGGAACAAGTGTAAATTCCTAGTGGCATGAATATTTGAAAGAATTGACTTTAAGCTGGCAGTATAGTAGTATTTGTAATTTACTGATATTGTTGTCTGTGGAAAAGTTATCACTGATTCTCCTCATCTTTCCCTGCAGAGGAAAATTTGCTGTGGTTAGACAATGTATATCAAAATCTACTGGCCAAGAATATGCTGCAAAATTTCTAAAAAAGAGAAGAAGAGGACAGGATTGTCGAGCGGAGATTCTGCATGAGATTGCTGTGCTTGAATTGGCAAGGTCCTGTCCCCGTGTGATTAATCTTCATGAGGTCTATGAAAATACCAGTGAAATAATTTTGATACTGGAATAGTAAGTATATACTTTATTACATTTAGATAAATCCATGACACCTATTTTAACTGGTAGGATAGAGTGACTTGAAATGTCAAGAATGAGAATTATGAAGGTATGACAAGAACTTGTAGAGATTCCTGTTGATAAAATATTAGAGGGACATAGTTTATGTTCAGATATTTTCATAAAGCTAAATGTTCAGCCTCACATACCTACACAAAAACTAACTCACAGTGCAAAATTAAATGACACCACAACATTTGATAATGTGCTGAAATGAACATTCATTCTTAACATTTTGCTAGTGGCACAGAAATTGAATTTTCAGGTAAACAATCTAATAGGCAAGTAGAATTGAAATCATTTATGTATTTTATACATCTGTTTGAAAAATAACTATTAAAAAAGACACAGTAACAGAAAGGCAAACCTCATAAAGATATGCCTAGCACATTGTTTGTTAAACACATTTAGTATGCATAAAGTACAAAACACTGTTAGGAATTGTAGCAATAAGAAATAAAATGCATCACTTGCCACAAGTCAGTAAAAACTTGAGAACACCCAAATATTCACAATTTATGAGGTGGTGGGAGCAGAGGATAGTTAAGGTTAACTGTGATTTGTTACCCAATGTATTGACACATGACTCTTAAGCAGTGTCTTTACTGCATGATTGTCTCACTTGTATTGCAAATATGTAAAACATGTGTTTGAACATTTGCACCAGTTAGAAGAAATCATGATCATAGTCTGCCTTAGGTTCTCCTTGTTTTTAATAAAGTAAATTATTTCATATTAAACTGAAGGAATAGGTATTTTTTAGTAAAAAATTTTTTTTTGATAATTATAGCAATTCTTTTTAGTAGCTAACCATCATTACTTTTTTGTATTTAAAAATGCTAGTCTTAATTTAGTACTCAACTATTTTAAGGATGAAGAAGTTTATTTATATATTTATAATTTTTTTATACCAGGAACTAGATTGACTTAAATCAAATTTAATTACCGACTCTATAAAATGTTAAAACTGTCAAGTAGTTTGTATAGTTTGTACATTTCTCAGAACACCCTAATAAGGCATATTATAGCATCTTCACAATAAATTAGAATTTTATTTTTCATACATTTTGTGATCATTGTTGTAAAAGATTTTTCAACTGATCTTTAAAAAGTTATATAACAGGGCCAGCAGGTGGCATGGTGGTTGAGGTGTTGGGCTCCCACATGGCAGACCGTAGTTTGACTCCTGGACTGGCAGCTTGCTTTCTCACTTTCCATCTCATTTTCTATGTCTCTTTTGTTCAAATTTAAAAATAATAACAATAATAAATTTTAAAAAATTAAAACAAAAAGTTATTTATCTGAAAGACATCTAAAATAGGTAACAAGTTGCAAACATTTTCAAAACAGTACTGGAATGCTAAGTTTGGAGGGTGTATATACATATGAACATTGACAACTTTCATGAAATCTTCTTTTTGGGTTTATCTAAACAGCAACAACAAATACATCAGAAAATTAATTCACATTTTATGGAAGGACCTTGTTCATGTCCTGAAAATTGATTCAAGTACCTTGTCCAGCAAACTGGCAGAAATATTACTGATATTTATACCTCTAGTTGAAATGTAGCAAGCATGCAGTAAGTGTCTGTGTGGATTTGATTTCTTAGCAGAGTGTCTAAGACCTATTAAAAAATAGCGTCAGGACTTAGGCTTAATTGTTTAGCACTTTATGGTTGGCATTGTCACATTGGACAGTCTCAAGTTTGGCCAGCCATGTATAGTTGTTTTAACAATGTAGCCTAATTTTATATGGTAAAAATGAAACGCCAGAAATCTTTTACTCTAGTAACCATTACCAGTTTGATTGACTCCTCAAGCTATCCTATGTATTTATTTTTTTACCCCACTTTTTAGTTTAATAAAATTTCAAGTTACCAAAAATCTAAAAATAGTACAGATAATATCCTTACAGGTTTCACTTCGATTCACCAATTATTGACATTTCTCCACATTTATTAAACCATTTGAAAGTTGTCGATATCACAATATATTTTCTTTGCATGCTGAAGTATTTATTGATCCTGGAGAGTAAGGTCTTTATTCTACATAGCCAACATCAGCATCAAACCCAACACAGCTAAAATTAATTCAGTAGTGTCATCTAATGTACAGTCTATGTAATTCTTTATATCCAAAATGTATTATAGACCTATTTTTTTCTAATACAAGATGCTATCAAGATTTACATACCATATTTGTTAAACCTCTATAATCTTTTTTTTTTTTTAATGTGTATTGTAGTAGGGCTCTATATTGGTTGTCATATGAAACATCCTACATTCTAGATCCAGCTGGTTATTTCCTTATGATTAAATCTAAGCTAAGTATTTTCGGCAAGCAGATCTGGTGTGGGTGATGATGTGTATTTTTTACTGTATCTCCTCAGTTGGCAATCCTATCTGGTAGTTTCATTATTGGTTTTGTTAAATTTGAACATGGTTAAGGTGAGGGCTACCAGCTGTCTCCAATGGAAAGGCACATTTTCCCTTTGTAATTAGTAAGTTGTCTGTGTGGTAATATTTAGAAGCTGTGTGAATATCTCCTCTTTGACCATTTTTCCTTCACTAATTTCAGTAACCATGATATACTTACTGGAGTTAATTATTATAGTGGGTATGCAAACATGATGAATCTTGATTCTGCTAAACCTTCTAAATTTATTAACTTGGCATTCTTCTCTAAAGAAATACTCTCTCCCCTTCCACCTCTTTTTAATATCACTGTGGATTCATGGTTTTAATAATTTAAAATAACATTAATTAAAAATAACTCATTGTATTTTAATCACTTTGGTGTTCTAAGAGTTTTATCATAATGGGTTCTAATCAGTTTCTGTTGCTGTTTTTCTGCTCAGATTGTCTCAAATTTATTAGCAGTACCCTTTCAAACTAATTCTTATGTTCTTTTCATGTGGTTTTATCAACATTTGAGGACTTCCTCGCTTTATGCATGCCAAGATTTTCAGGGTTATCTTGATCTTCCCTGCCCAGGTCCTGTAATCAACCATCTCTCCAAGAAGTTCTGGTTCTTTTTAGTGAGGAATAATATTTAGAAACCAAGATATGGGTGTTGGACTGGCTCATTTTGTTTCTTTTTTTCAATTTGCAGTAGGGTGCCTATGTTCATGAGAGAGAGAGAGAGAGAGAGAGAGAGAGCACCCTTGAGGGAGATGCCCATGCCACAGTACCTTCTCTTTGCTCCTCTCAGGATCTTGGGCAGGCATGCACTTTCATCTGGCATGTCTTTTAAGCTGCCATGTCTGGGACTTCAACTGGGCAGCTGAACAGGTGGGATCCAGCTGCCTCTTACCACCATCTCACTGACTGGTCCAGACATGCTCATTTTTAATGGAGCGCCATTGTTTCTAGACCTTTTCTAAGAGCAGTATTAGGAAATAATCGTATTTTTTAAAAAAATATATGAGTTTATTCTCATCACTCCAAGCCATCACTAGAAGATTCTTTATCACATCTCATATTCTTTATCTGTCTCTTTCACAATAAAAACCTTGCTTCTCAACATTGCTTACTTATTTACTTTATCCAGTGATACATACAAAATAGCTTACCAATATCAACAAGATACATGGTAAAGTCTGACTTGTTTTTTGCCATTCATTGTATCTTTAGAATAAAGCCCACAGGACCAGCAGGTGGCATAGTGGGTTAAGGCAACTGGATCCTACATGGCTTACTTGATGGTTTGAGTCCTGAACTCGGCAGCTTGAAAATTACACCAGGCACATGTGCATGTATCCAAAATTCCAAGAGGAGAATGGAGGAGAAGGAGTGGTGGCATGGCCATTTCCCCTGAGGGGTGATTTCTCATTATACCTCTCTTTTTCTCTCTGTCTCTGGCAAGCACATAAACAGTATAGCAAAATGAAATAAAATAAAATAAAGCCCACAAAGGATAGTCAGAAATAGAATTATATAGTTAAATATATTGGTTTCTATTTATATTCAGTGTTAGGATTTGACTTTTTAAATTTTTTTATATATTATTTTGAAAGTATTAAAAAGATTTACATGATTCAAAACTCAAAGATATATGAAAATGTATATTATAAAATCTTGCTCCCATTTCTATTCATTGTACTCTTTCTACTCAAGCTTTATAGTTAACTATATATATTTGTTTCTGGCTCATTCTTTGTGCATTTTTTCTTGCAAATATAAGCACACTTGTATGTATTTATATATAGTACTTTCTTACAGAAAAAGCAGCATGTGTATATACTCTTTCATACCTTAATTTTTTTTACTTCACAATATATTCCAGAAATCATTCTAAATATATTAGTTCATGGGCATCTCTCTTACTATTATTATTTTGGCTATTTTAAATTGGCTTGAAATTACCCCATTCTGTGGTTGGACCATGCTTTATCAGTTAGTCTTCTATGGATGGGTGTCATTTTTAGAGGTGTAGTTTTAGGGTAATTCTTTTTTTATATATAAGTTTTTGCCATAGGTTTTTCCATGGGGCATGTGTGCTCACTGGAGAGACAGTGAGAAACAGTGAAAGGGAAGTCCCTCCCAGGGTTGAGCTCATATACATGCACAGATGCCTGGTGTGCTTTTCAAGCCACCAGGTGCAGGACTCGAACTGTGGTCGGCCATATGGGAATCCAGCACCTTCAACTACACTACCTGCTGGTCCTATGGGTAAATTCTTAAGAGATGCAATTGTTGGTAAAAGAGTAAATGTGTTAGATGTTGTCAAACTTCCCCTCATATGAATGGAACATAATCCCTTAAAAAGGCGCTTTTTTGAATTGTTACATTTGCTAATTATATAGATCTATCTGAACTTTCTTTTTGAACAGTTACAATTATGAGTTCTCATAGGTCTATTTTATTTTTGCTTTTGTGCTTTATCTTCACATAGCCAAAACCTCATTTTTGAACCAAATTAAGTTGTTTAGTGAATTATACTTAAAGTCTT